CTTCCCCCTTTCCACGCCGCGGAGGCAGATGGCGAGGCCTGGAGGAGGAAGAACGGAGGGAGGAATTCCAGCCGGTGTGACAATCCCCCCCCCAGCGCCCGGTGTGTGCCAGGCGGCGCTGCACGCTCGGGGTTAGGGTGGTGCGCAAAGCAGGCGCCCCGGCCCTTACCCAGCAAGCGTCTGGGGGAGCGGCCACCCTCACCCAAAGGCTTAAATCCGGCGTCATTTGCTTTTCCTGAAAGTTTAGGAAGTTTTCGGGATGTTTTATTTTAGAAGCCAAACATGACATACCAGGCCTCCTCTGTCTGACCTAGCTTGCCGGTCCGGATCCCTGGCTCCCTCTCCTTTTGACGCGCACTCAGGAGGCTCCCTGGGCTTCACCACCCCTCCTTTCAGCGCCTTTGGTCAAGCTGGCACCTCTAGAACCCCTCTTCCATCCCCGTCACAGAGCTGACATTACACATCCCTGAAGCCAGCTCAGGGCTACCTCTAAAACTACATTTATGGCCCTTCCCTTTCCCTTCAAGGGCTCATAAAATAGTAGATGTCTATGTCGCCATTCTTTCACATGATTTTATAATCGTCTCTGTGCGTCTCTCACACCCACAGACTGAGCTTTAGGGCAAACAATGTCTTGTTCACTTTTGTGTTTCCAGCTTCTAGCCCAGTGCCTGGTGCATAGCAGACACTCCAGTGTCTGTTGACCAATGAGAGAATGATGATTGTAAGCAGAGGCTCAAATATGCAGTAGCGATTAAAGTCCAAAGAATGAGAGATTGTTTGCACTGGGCTCCAAAAATGGATAGTCTAGACCTGTGCTGTCTTATACAACAGCGGCTGGCTCCTGGTATGCGTCTAGTCCAAACTGAAATGCCCTTTAAGTGTAAAACACACATTGCATTTCAAAGACTTGGTACAAAAAAAGAGAATGCAAAAGAGCTCATTAATCATTGTGATGTTAATTACATGTTGAAATAACATTTTGATATATTGGGTTAAATAGAACAGCATTGAAATTAATTTCACGGGCCTCATTTACTTTTTTAAGGTGGCCCCTAGGAAATTAAAAATTACAGATTTGCCTTGCATTCCATTTCCAGAAGCTCAACTCGAGAAAGGGGAGCTGAAGGATAAAGAGGAAAGTGAATATAGAAAGTACCCCTCCCCTGGTCCTGTCTGGTCCTGTCTGAATTTAGATGTGGAACTATTAGAGAGGGCTTTGCTGTAGAGGTTTAACCGTTCTGAGTATTTCTGGGGTATGAGGTCATCTGGAAAGTAGAATTCAACCTAAAAGTTAACTGAGGTGTTGAGCGTGTGTAGGTGAAACAGTGGAGAGGACTGGTTAATCAGAATGGTTTTACACGTGGGAAGGGAGGGAGGAAGCCCCAAAGTAGAGGAAACAACTCCCTCAAATGAAACAGGACTCGGGATCCTTGTTTGCTCTTCTTTGTTGGCCCTTCCTGCCTACCCGCCTCATATTTCTTTCTTTCTTTCTTTCTTTTTTTTTAAGTTGGGAGTCTCACTCTGTTGCCCAGGCTAGAGTACAGTGGCACACTCATGGCCACCCCAGTGTCGACCTACTGGGCTCTGGCGATCCTTCCGCCCCACCCTTCAAAGTAGCCGAAACTATAGGTGTGCACTACCATGCCCAGCTAATTTTTTTGGTTTATTGTAGAGAGGAGGTCTCGCCAAGTTAGCCAGGCTGGTCTCGAACCCGCGGGCTCAGGCCATCCACTCGCTTCGGCCTCCCAAAGTGCTGAGATGACAGCCTGAGCCACCGAGCTCAGCCCCCACCTCATATTTCGGATTCCTTTTTTCTCTCCACAAACTTCAGTCATTTGCATTGCTTTTATCTAGGCAAAACAGGCACCTTGATTGGGCCATTATTTTATTTTATTTTTTAATTTGTGTCAATGTACAGTAGAACTGCTTAGCTTTGTGTACCGTTGATGCATGTTAGCACTCTAAGGATCCTGTAACTGCTACCAGAATGAGGATCGTCCCACTGCCCCCAAACTCCCTTCTGCTGCCCCTTTGGAGTCACTCTCCCCCTCTCCTGGCCCCCGGCAATCATGGTTGTGTTCTCAGTAACTATGATTTTGGTTTTTTATCTGGAAGGTCATATGAATGCAATCACATGTTATATAACCTTGGACCCACTAATTTTTGCTGGAGTCAAAGCAACAAAATTCCCCTTGACAGGAAATCTACCCATAATTGTATATTATTTACAGAGTTAATGGAGCATGAAAGCAGTCAGAATGCTTTGGAATAAGATGTTCTGGGCAACAACTTTTCAGATTAACTAGAAATTAAGCAAAACCCCATTTATAGTTTGATCATGTAGCGTTCTTTCTAAAATGTGAATCTCCATTTCTTTCTTAATAAATAGGACCCAATGAACAAAATTTTTTTTTGTAAATTAAGGAGTGCAATAAACACCAGAATCCTAACAAATAGCAAATTCTTATGTTTATACAATATAGCTACTGAGGTCCTTTGATCTCTACAACCAGTCTGAAGGGTAACGATGAGAGATCTATTAATCTGTGTGGGGTTTTTTTTGAAAGCAGAATTTATTGAGAGGACAGAAAAGCTCCCAGAGTGGGAGGGAACCCAAGGGGGTTGCCAATCTGTGTTATGTTTAATAAATGGGAACATCAGACTCAGAGGTGAAGTGACCTGGCTGATCAATGTCTTTTTTTTTTTTTTTTTGAGTTAGAGTTTCACTCTGTCACTGGAGTACAGTGGCACGCTCCCAGCCACTGCAGCCTCGACCTGCTGGGCTCTGGCGATCCTTCCACCTTAACCTTCTAAGTAGCCAGATCTACAGGTGCGTGCTACCATGCCTGGTTCATTTTTGATTTATTGTAGAGACAAGGTCTTGCCAAGTTACTCAGGCGGGTCTCGAACCCGCGGGCTCACAATCCACTCGCCTCAGCCTCCCAAACTGCTGGGTTGACAGGCTGAGCCACCAAGCCCAGCCGATCAATGTCTTATTCTGGTGAATGGTGGAGCCAAGATATGGTTCCCATCTTCTGGGTCTTTCTTTCATTTGAATCTGCTGCCTTGATTCATTGTAGTGTAAAACACTATTTCTTGTGGTTCTGTTCCATTGATACAGAGTTTTAGAACAGGGTTTCTTGACATGCGGTTTGTAGGCCAACTGGTTCAGAACACTTGCTAAAATGCAGAGTCCTAGACTCCACCATATCCCACTGAATCTAAATCTCCAGAGGTGGGACCAAGAATCTGCTTTTTAAAAAAGTCTCTAAGTTATTCTTATGCATGCTAAAATTTAGAAGATTGGACTGAGAGTGTATTGGCCCTGGATCTTCTCTAAGAATATTACCCTTGTTTTTAAATAAAGCCCTAACAGAAGATTCTTTTCCCTTACAAAGTACAGCTTTCACCTAAAAGCCAAGTATCTAGAAAACTACATTAGGTAAACTTCCAGATAATCAAGATGCTAGTGTCTTATTGCTACAACTGAGTCATTCATTCCTTTCCTCACTTCTGATGCTTTTGGCTGCATATAACAGAAAACCCTGACTCAAACAACTATAGCAACAAAGGTGTTTGTTATCTCATGTAACAAGAAGTCTGAATGTAAGTGGGCCCAGAGTTGGTTAATTCACTGACTCGGGAACAGTTTGAAAGACCCACTTTGCTTCTTCTGTATTCTCACATTAAGTCCCCGGGTGATGGCAGAGCAACCACGTTTCCAGGTGCTACATCAGTCAGGTAGAGCAACATCCAGCAAAAGAAGGGGGACCAATTTGGGGTGGAAATTAACTGTCTGCAGCACATTCATTCAGTGATTAATGATGTGCAGGGATCATGCAAAGTGCTGGGGATACAGTAGTGAATGATACACATGCCCTGACA